GGGCTCGATCCCAGGACCCTGGGATCATGACCTGAGCCGAAGGCAGACGCTCAACGACTGAGCCACCCAGGTGCCCCTGGGGAGGGATGTTGCGGAGCAAGGCTTACATGATTGTGTCGAACCTTTTCTTGATATCTCTTTTGCCCAGTGGTTCCGAAAAAGTTTGAGCTCACAGAGCCTTTTTAGAATTACAGAGAAGCTGAGGATTCTCTCCCCAGGAAAAATACACAGACCTATAAGACTTTCTGATTTTAGAAGTTTAAACATCTTCTCAGTCCCTAACAGAGTAATAATAATGAGAGCTGACATTGGTTCAGCATTGCAACTGCCAGTTATGTTTTTGAACACCTCACATGGATCAACTCATTGAATCTATAAAAACCCCATGACCTAGAGTCTAGTATTATCTCCATTTGAGAGATGAGGAAACTGAGTCCCAGAGAGGTTATGCCACTTGGTTAAAGCCAGTGTTTAAAATTGAGGAGGTACAAAACAAATAAATATATAAACTGAGGGAGGGACAAGTTGCTCACAATTTAGTCTTGGGACCTGGATTCAAGTCCCCATCTCTTCCTCTTACTCATTCTGTGACCTCAGGCACATTTTTCCATTTCTCTGAACCTGTTTTCTCACCTGTCCATTGAGAATGATGAGATCTAAGCCCGGGGTCATTGTGAAAATGAGGTGACATAGCGTCTGCAAAAGTGCTCTGTCAACAGGTAGATGTTTGTGTAAAGGGAGGGATTCGTGTTTTTATTACTGGGTGATGATTCTCCTGGGTTCTCTTAGGATCAGGTGACCCTGGGAGAATCACATTCCATTCTGTACCCTAGTTGCAGTGGGAGCAGAGAGACCAGAGGGAAGAGAGACGTGACAGGGGGATGCGGGAACCGGAGGGGCCAGAGCAAAGCACAGGGTTCTCTGGTCTGGGAGACTGAGGGAGATATTGCAGCTGTCACTGAAATGGGAAACCCAGAGAAGGGGCAGCTTGAGAAGGTGATACCTTCAGCTGGGATGTCCAGGCGTGCCGTGACTTTGGGACTGAGGTCCAGGTGGCAGTTAGGAATCAGAACCGGACCTGGATGGAGACAGAGGTGTGGAAGTTGTCAGCACAGGGGCAGGACCTATAGACTCAGGAGTGAATGGATTCTTATGTTCATTTGTTCACTAATTATTTATGAAGTGCCTTCTATAGGCCAAGCACTGTTTTAGGTCCTGGAGCTACACAGCAGCAGACAGCACGAGACCAAAATATGTCAGTCGTGTGGAGCTTTCATGTTAGGAGGGAAGGACTGACAAACCAATATGTAAAGAGTGTCAGAGGGATGGTGAGTGCTGTGGAGTAACATTAAACCCTTAAGAGGAAAGGGGAATGCTGCAGCTGGAGGAGGAGGCAGTGACAGGAAGTGTTTCTTTCTTTAAAGATTTTATTTATTTATTTGACAGAGAGAGAGACAGCGAGAGAGGGAACACAAGCAGGGGAGTGGGGGAGGGAGAAGCAGGCTTCCTGCGGAGCAGGGAGCCCGATGCGGGGCTCGATCCCAGGACCCTGGGATCATGACCTGAGCTGAAG